TATGTCTTGGATTATAATTTTTAGTGATAGCATTCCTGTCATTTCGATAGTGCCTGACTTCATTCTTAGAGTGCAGAACCACGTCATGTGTGGAAGCACCTTGCCACTCTTCAGATACCTGCAGCAAAGGCCTTACTCTGATACTGCTCGTTTCTGCAGGTCCTATCTGACTCCTGTACGCGACGAGGAAGCAGAGTCTTTGCGGAAAGCTCGCTCCAGACAAGCTCGGCAGACTCGAAGGTCTACGCAAGTGAGTGTGACCTCCCTTTTTAATGTCCTTTTGCTTGTATTCCTTTCCATTGGAAGTGCAATTGAAAAATAAGTGAGTGCCTTATTCCAGCCACTGTAGTAAAATAAAGGCTTTCACTGTGTTAAGTCTTACATTACATAGAATCAAATGAATTTATAGCTGCATCTACCCACTCGCGCTTATATTCCTTCAGGCCCAAAGCAGGTTTATCTCCTTTCTTTCCCAAGTGTCATCATTCCACTTTTGCTTAAGGGATCATGTCTTAAGAATCCCTAAAGAACAGTTTGACAGTGCCTCAAAATGTTAAACATAGAGTTACCGTTTGACCCAGCAATTCTACTCTTAGCTATATACTCAAAAGAAATGACAACATAGGTCCACAAAAACTTGTGTGCAGATGTTCATAACAGCACTATTCACAGTGGCCAAAAACCCAAATTCAGTGTCTTCTCTGGCCAGAAGTTAATACTATTAGATCTTTAAGGAAGTCTCCCCACTCATTCATCAAGAGTTATTCCAGAGTTAGAGTGAAACTTCCCTGACCTTGTGATATTTTCCCAGGGTGTAACCCTAACGGACCTTCAAGAAGCAGAAAGGACTTTCAGCCGGTCCAGGGCAGAGCGGCAAGCCCAGGAGCAACCTAGCCAACAGCCCGCAGACACAGAAGGGCTCGAGGGGGGTGTGGACAAGCATGAGCCCCCGGCAGTCCTGGCAAGGGAAGCTGGGAAGGGCCAGCAGCCCTGGGGCGGGAGTCTGGATGAGGAGGTGAGCTCACTTTTGCTGTCATGTCGGTGCTAAAAGCAAGGACATTAATGTGGGGAACCTCTCCCTCACTGATGACTCAAATGCTGTGCTGCTTCGCAGTGGACAGCTCGTAGAAAACACCGTTTACGTCTGTCTTTAGTTGGCAAACCTGTTTGACTAAAAGGATTCAGATGATACCGGTCCTTACGTGATGATTTTTTTCTTCTGGGAGTTAACTAATGCTTATTTTTTTTCCAAATTTATTGAGATATAATTGACATATAACATTGTATTAGCTTTAGGTGTACACTGTGATTTGATACATGTAAATACTGTGAAATGATTACCACAACAAGTTTAGTTAACTAAGTTTATTCTTTAACTAAAGAATGTGTCTTTCTATTCTGAAAAGAAAGGTCATCTTCTAATAAAACACAAATAGAAATATAAGCACGTTTATTGACTGTTTACTTTATACCAGGCATTGTTTTAACTATTTCATCTGTATTTATTTAATCCTCAAAACAACCACCTGAGGTAGATATTATTATTCCTGTTTTAAATATGAGGAAATTGAGTCACAGTGAGGTTAAGTAACTTACCCAGCATTTCACACAGCTAAGAAGTGTGCAAGTAAGGACTTAAACATGGGCAATCTGGCTCCATAGCTTCCTCTCTTGACCGTTAGGATATCGTTCTCTGAACTCCTGCAAACCTTATTTACAAAGCACTCCTTAATCTCATGCCACAAGATGTCACTGTTGGGGTGGGAATTTTGACTTACGTTCCATTTCTCAAGAGGAGTTGGTAGGCAAAGGTATAGAGTTATATTCAGGGTGAACATAACTCCTAGCTTACCTCAGATGGTTCCGGTTATACCTTTTATCTCTATGTGATTATCAGTAACTCTCCTTTTTATTCTCAGAGTGTCCCAGTTGGGATGATAAATTTTAGGTCACCATAGCTATAGGAAAAAGGAACCTCCGTCCTGCCCTAACTCTGAATGACTAGGCCACATAAACTGAGTTTCTGTTTATCAGCTCCTGTTTACTGAATGCTTATTACTAGGTACTGTTCTAAGCACCTAACATACATTATTTCACTTAATCCTCACAGCCCTCTCTGAGGAAGATATTCTCCCTATTTTACATATGAACATGGTGAGGCTCAGAGGAGTTAAGTAACCTAGTTAAGGACTCACAGTTATTAAGTGCTGAAGCTAGAATTTGAACCATGATCTGTCTGACTCCAAAGCTTACTGTATTTTATTGCCTCTATCTTTACAACTTATAAAGAAAAAAGTATACCATCTCTACCTGTAGTAAGAATTTCTCTTATTTCTGCATTTTCAGTAAACCAAGTTAAGGCTTATTGTCAGGATCTATTTGTGCTAACTCTTAAGAAAAAAAAAAATTAAAGGGGAAAATGGGATTTTTTTTTTTAAGTTTCAGTAAGCCTGGTTATAACAAGTTGGTAGAGTGTTCAGAAATTGGTAAAATGCTCAGATTTAGTGTCTGTTTTCAGACAGCTCTCTATTCTGTTTCTTCGTATTCCTGAGCTTTCTATTTTCCTACATAAACCTTGCCTTTCAGCACTACATCTTTAAAAGGTCATCATCGTTCCTATTTTCATTCTAAAATCAAAGGTTTTTTATTAATAAGGTTAGTTCTACCTAGTGCCATTTGATCAACTTAGGAATAATTTTTTTGGGCTGCATTTGATAGGATGGTATTACCAGAATAGGAGTCCAGAAGCTATCCTTTCTGACTAATTAACTAATTTTAGTTTAGCTCGAAACTGTTTATTGAGCATCTACTCCTGATAAGCCTCTTGATATAGAAAGAGGCTATTTTTGAACGTATAATGTAGGGGGTGGCTACACGGGGAAGGCAGTATAACACAGAGAACACAAGTAGTGACTCTATAGCATCTTACTACGCTGATGGATGGTGACTGTAATGAGGTATGTGGGGGGGGTACTTGATAATGGGGGAGTCTAGTAACCATAATGTTGTTCCTGTAATTGTACGTTAATGATAGCAAAAGAAAAAAAAGAAAAAGGCTATTTTTGATGAGCCTGCTGTTCTTTTCCTCTAGTTGAACTTGACCTCTAACATCTCATCCTGTTGGATTATTTCCAGCCTGTCTATCGTCGCCTGAGGTGTCCAGCTCAGCCAGACAAACCCACAACAACAGTGTCTCCTTCTGCGTCAAGACCCTCTCTCTTCACCAGTTCCCGTCTCCTGCAGACAATCAGATCTTCAGTCCCTGATTCTGAGAGTTCAGAGACTGCCACAAACACTGCAGTCGCAAAGGAAATGGACAAAAATGGTATGTGGAGCTTCAGAAAATAAACAGCCCCTTGCCAGTGCACATGCCCAAGATTCTTAAGCTCCGTACTTTGTTCTCCCTGTGGCCAGGGGGTGAAGAGGCGGACTTGGGTGATCAGCCCTCCAGTAGACTGTCCGTCCGGGAGAGGAGGCGGCCCAAGGAGCGACGAAGAGGCACGGGCATCAATTTCTGGACAAAGGATGTAAGTGGGTTTGCTCTGTGCTGGGCATATTGCATTACCTTTGGCTGCTGTCCTTAGTGCTGAGTTCAAAAGAAAGAGTCCCATGTGGTGCCATGAATTTTGCAGATGGTCAAGAAATATTACTGAGGGAAAGAGGAGAAGAAAGACTCAATCAGTGTGGGAATCATTTGGTTTATTCCTGCTGGATGCCCAGTGCCTGGCACAGTGCCAGCATGTAGTAGGCTTTCAGTAAATCACTGGTAAAGAATGAAAAAGAACTGAAAATGTGCAACGATCATGTAAACAAATATAACAAGTGAGCGAGCTTGTCACATTTCAGCAGTCTTCCCAGTATCCCCTGAAAGCCATTTAATCAACAATATCTTAATACTCCAGATAAGCAGATTCTAAGATTTTAGCAACACTACAAGAATTTCAAGGAACTTAAAATCTGTAAGTAACACGAGTTCATCTGGCTCGATTTTACTCTTTTGGAGGACAAAAGGAAAAAATGAAACAGATTAACTTTGGCTTTAAAGTAAAGACAGGTCCAATACTTACTAATTGCCAGCACACATTCAGTACTTTAGTTCACCCTCCTGCTCCATACCCTTGTCACTCAACTTTGTTATATAGTCAAAGGTGTTACAATCAATGACCAAGAGATCCGCGGTTACCAATGACTCATTTGAAAATTGGATAAGCCATTCAGTGAGACAAGAAATGAGACAATCATAGTCATCTAGTAGAAACTATAATAGACTGATAACTATTGACAGAGGTGAAATTAAAAGTCTGTCTTTCTTAAAGGTACCCCTTTTCCAACTGTGGTTCATCTGGCATTTTTTTTATCAGTGAGGTTCCTAAGCTGTCTGCCTGTGGTGGCTGTTAAAGGGAGGGGTGATAGAGCACCACATGGCAGTCAGTCCTCATTGCCTGTGTCTGAGAAGCCAAGATGCATGATTGACAGGAGCTGACCCCATTGCTCTCAGGGATGTCTGTGACCATGATCCTCTTGGTTTTTTTCCTCCTTCCTCTTCAGGAAGAGGAAACTGATGGCTCTGAAGAGGCAAAAGAAACATGGGTAAGTGGCAAGCCAATGAGGCATGTCCCTTTTGGCTCATCCTTGCTCGATGCACTGGTTTTAATAGAAGAAAGAGCAGGCTCTGTGCAGATTCGGGCTGGAGGGGAGTTTGGAGATAGACATCCCTGTGAGGACGGTGCAGGGGTTAGCTGGTGGTACTATGTCTTTATGTGGTGTAACAGTGCCTGTGCTCTTAAACAAGTTTTTCCTGCATTTTCCTATGCCTACTGCCAATCTCTAAGAGTTACAGGATCTGTCTGTCTTCTTTTTCTCCTGCATGAGTTTGTTATTGGATTGTATAAAATAGTTTAAAATCTTTGGAAGAAAAGTGAAGAGTGATTCTGCTTCTTTTGTGGAATGTATACTACTTGAGAGGAACATAAATGTGAAGGATGTAAACATCACACACAATCCTGAAGCCATTTATGTTTGACTTTGAAATAAGTAAACCCTTGGCTCTTACATAAGTCAGGTCTGGCGTCCGACTTTTCGCTGCGCTGGACAGCTTGCGCTCAGCCTTCCCGATACTCCGGGTTCCTGTACGCCATTCACACGTGGTAGGAAGTTATTGATTTTTCTTGTTAGTACTTTTTTGGGGGGAAGGAAGGGATTTGGTTTTGACTAAATGAATTGAGACTACATGTGCATTTCTATTAGAAATTATGTAAAAAGATGGCCTTTTTGTACCCGACAGTTAGTTGGAAGTATGTTCTCAGAATATATTTACTAACCCATACTGAAAATCTACAACTAACTTGTTTTTAGCAGAGGAACTAGTACTATTATGTCACTGACCCACCTACATTTTAGTCAAGATCCAAAGCAGTCAATAGTGGCCTCCCAAAAAGCAGTGCCCACGTGACTGGTGATGACATAGATGCACCTGCACACCCACGGTGAAGTTGGGGCTGCTTCACAAAGATGAGCGGTATCAGGTATAACTGCCCCCAGGGCTTCCCTCAGGCGGTGAGGGGGTGTGTGTGCACACGCGCGTGTGTGTGTATGCATGCACACATCACAAGTAATGGTGTCTTTTCTGTTCTTCAAGGGGCTTAGAAAGGCTTTTGGAGACAGAAAAAGTGAACGTAGGACAGTTGCTCTGGGGAATTACACGATACCTAAAGTGAGACCCTGAGTAATAGGCTACCGAGCACTGAAATGGACTATAACCGCTAGAGCATTACAGAGCCCATTTAAATCCACAAGGGGAATTACAACAAGGAGGGCTTTGCTGTTGTGGCATGACTTTGTCAGTGAAAAGCTTTGTCCCTTCCTTTCCAAACTACTTGACACAGGAAAAGCCTAGCTTCCGGCACCAAGCAAGGAAACTAAGATGAATTTGATATAGATGCAGTGCAGAAAAGAAAGGTTTTCTGATTGGTGAGTAAAAGCAGTGACTGTTGAGGTTTGACATTAAAATCATTTATCAGATTGAAAAATACTTCACTTATCCAGCTGCTTGAGGCATCTGCTAGTGTTTACCATTGTCAAGCAGGCTCCAGAGTGAACCTTAAGAGAAGAACAAACAGCCTGTTACCTCTAAACTGGTAACTCTGAGTGTGTGCAGGTAAGCAGAATTGGCACGAGGGTCTTCCCAGTGCCCATCTCCAGCGTCACCAGTAAGGCAAAAGGAAAGTGGTGGCAAGTCAACATGGGTGAAGCATCCTTTTTGGGAAAGCTTTACATTGTCTTGGTTCATTATTCCAGTTTAATTCAATGAAACTCTTACCTGTTTTCTCCCATGTGCTCTCTTCTAACACTAGTAGGCATGATGCCATTATCCTTGTGGACCCATAGAGCAACACGCCTGGTCATGGCCTAGTGAAATTGCTGCAGTTCTACTTCAAGATGATCAGTAACATCTTATGACCACTTTTTCTCCCTCATCTCCATGTCCTTGCATCAGGTGGCGGAGTTGAGCCCGCCACAGGGGCATTCTGTTAAAATGGCACTGTTAGCTAATCTGCATGCATACTCCTGAGAGGCCAGGGCAGTTCTTTCTTTTCTTGATTTTTGGTTCAGTAAAACTATACCTGCTGCTGAGGTCATGACAGCTTCCTCTGCCTTAGTGTCCTTAAGAGAGGTGGAATCTATTATTTTTCAAGTTAACTCTTCCCAAGACAGTCTGTTTTTTGAGATATAATTTATAATCACGTAACTGCATGGATATTAATGTTTGGTGAGCTTTGACAATGTGTGCAGCAATATAAACACTGCTCAAATCAAGATACAGAACTTCCCCATCACCTTGAAATTCCTCATACCCCCTTTCCTGTCCTGAGAGGCAACTGCTCTTCTAATTTCTATCACCATCGACTAGTATTGCCTGTTCTTGAACTTCATATATGTGGAATCACACAATAATAATATTTTATTTTAAGGGTAGAAAGGAAACTTCAGTGGTTATCTGTATCCTGTGTCACCAGTCAGGGTTAGAATTAAAATGATTCTAAGTATGTATACCTTTTTTTTCTTATAGATTTCAAAGGAAGATTTTTTAACCTCCCACCTATGTATCAGTAACAAGAGCATGGTGAAGAAGACGTTTCTTTTGTTTAACCCAAGCTCTGTTGACATCATTGAAATCCATTTCTTCTTTTCATGTATCTACACTAGAAAAATATAACCAGCATTTATATACAGATAAGATTTGTAGCCAGGAATGGCCTTGATGTTTGTCATCCATTATGTGATAGAGGAAAGGCAGACATGCATTTCTGTGATGGTGACACCAGAAGGAATGATGCTGAGAAGGCCGGGGACTTTGCTTAAGCCCAACATAGCACATGATTTTAGTCAAAACCATTCCCATTGGTAAATCCATGAACCAGTGAGACTGGCAATGAATATATAATTTGATGTCTTAGCACCTCCTTGACAGATGGTTTTAAAACAAATCTGTCCTGTCATCCACATTAGGTATGTAACAGGTAGTCCCCAGAAGCCTTAATGTGCTCTTTATTTTGCAGAGTGAAAAAGAAACTGCATCTAAATCTCAATGTGAGGAAGAAAGTCATTCCAATCATACCTCACAAAACCTTTGTATTCAGGAACATGTTGTTTCCTTCACTGGGATTGATCGCATGGCATGTTCTGGAAGGCGCAGTCGGGGTGCCCTGCAGGAGATGATGGGCATTTGGGTTCTTTCCATCTTTTCATTCCTGCATCTTTGGCCTGCCTTCCTTCTGACTAACACTGAGTTTTATCCGCTGCATTCTTGTTTCCCCCATTCGCTGCTCTGGAACCGACCGTTTTCCGAGCCGATTCTGTTGTATGACCGAGTCTATCACTAGAGGGCACGAGTGAACAACAGAGAAGCTGCCGGTGAGCAAGCAGAATGGCGCCCTGAGAGGCCAAGCGAGGACATACTTGCTACTGTTTTAAAGGAATTGTTGAAGAGCTTAGTTGAACACAGGGAAATTACTTGCCTCCCAACTTTGGGGAATTCAGATATAACTTGGTTTAGGAGTCTCATTTTTTAGTTAAGAAAACTGAGGCCCAGAGAAGTTAAGAAGTATTCAGGGACACAAAAGCTCTGTCCGGTGGGTACCCCTGAACCTTTTTTATGTGACTGTAGTAAAGCAGACCTGAGATTTGGGCTTACCTACTGTTCCATTCCCTGTTCATCCCTTTGGTTTTTGACTCAGCAGGTTACATGTTCAAATTGACTTGCTGGTAGCATCTCACCTCCTTGAATGAAGGGACATCTTCTTGAAGGACAACTTAAAAGCTCACTCCTACTATCAATGACGTTCTACTGTCATTCCTTTGGTCACATTAAATCCATAGTGAATTTGCCCAGGACTGAAACCCATTGGCAAGACAATTACTTCGCCTGCTATTTTGAGAATATACTCTAAAGGGGTATGGGTGGGAGCAGAGACGTCAGTTAGGAGGCTAGTACAGTAATCCAGGGCAGAACTGGTGGTGGTTTGGAGCAGGGTGATAGTGGGTAGCAAAGATACCAAGAAGTTTTCAAATCCAGGGTATAGTTTGAAGTTGGAACCAGTAAGATTTGATGTTCGTTTGGATTTAGGATGAAAAAAGCCAGGAGGAGGGGACCAAGGTTTACACCAAAGCTTTTAGCTATGGCAACTGAAAGGACAGTTTTTCATTAACTGAGGTAGAGAAGGCTATGGGAGAAACACATTTGGTGGGGGAAAAGCAGGCGTTTAGTTTGGGTTCTAGAAGTATAGTATGTCTGACTGATATCCACGTGGCAGTGTCAAGAGAAGAGCTAGAGGTTGGAGCCCAGAGTTCAGTAAGAGGTCCGTACGGGACATACAAACTTGGATATCAGCCAGTGTGTAGACTGTATTTAAACCATGACATTGGATGTTATCTCCAAGATAAGGAATGTGGACAGAGAAGAGGCCCAAAGACAGAGCCTTGGGACACACCAAAGTTCAAAGTGAGAAGGGAAAAACCAGCAAAGGAAACCAGTGAATTCTGGCACTTGGCTCTGAGAATGTGAACACAGTTTCCTTCTTTCTACAAAACAAAATCAAACAAAACACACACAGAACAGTAGGTAGTTTTGTTATTGTTGGTTTTACATTTTTCTTGACTTGTACTACCCCTGAAATTGATATTTCCCATGAAATCATCTTGGCCTGTTTATAACAGAGCCATGCCATAGTGTAGGAGAGTAGATACCCCACAGCACCCTCCAACATCCTTTGAAATAGAAATTGCCATCTCTCTGCAAGTCTTATCTCAGGGGCCTTTGCAGTCCAGGAATGTCATAAGACTGTTCTCGTTACACTAGAGGAATTCTGTTGATTAGCCATATCTGAAATTATCTTCTAAGTTGACTTAGCCTTTGGCCCCCTTTGCTTTGCCTAATTTTCCTCAGCTTTATTACATCTTTGAGAAACTAGCATTTTCATTTCACTTAAGAAGAGGCTTTCTTTGAAAAACTTATTTCTAAGTGCTGTTGTACACTAACCTGATTTAGTTCTGTGATGGCTAGAATGGCAGATACAGACTTTGGGTTTTAA